ATTCAAAATATATATTTAGGATGGCAATCAGAAATGGCTTTTTTGATCGTGCGCAGGAAAAAAATCGTCTTTTATTTTTTAGCAGCGAACATATATATGGAGTTAACTCGCTTTATAGTTAAAGTCAAAAATTTTTATATTATATTGCTGCACGTGCTTCTTTATCATATTGGGCAATGAAATCACTTTAACATCGAAATAAAAATTCTCTTTTAAACTGATATTACTGTTAACGTTACGATGAAAAAAAAAATAAGCAAAAATGGCGTTTTCTAGTTTTCTAACGAATCATAATAATGATAATCTCTTGGGCTTCAGTGTTACAATCCACTACGTTATGGAATTGCTCGTTTTGGTAACACAATAAATTTTACATGACCCTTCTATGCCTAAAACCGTATTTATTGTAACGGTAACCTTTCAAAATGTGCTAATGCGTTAAAATTGAGCTGGGCTAGTTTATAAATTCCCAATTCTATTTAATTGGGAAAATTAATGTTTATCGTTATAACGATAATATTCGTTATCCTTATACTTTTGGTTTATTTGCGTTTCACAGCATATTTATATATACTTCATATTACATCAAATTAAACAATATGTACGCGAACGGGGATTCAAAAAAAAATTTCGGTTGTGCTTTGTTGTAACAATGAAATCTTACCCGAAGTGATTGTTTTTAACTGTTAGTATTAATTATTTCGTGCTATTTTAGTTAGCGGTGGTTTTTATAATTAGTTATCAACTCTGATCACGAGTGCCTTTCGTGAATTGTTCATTAGTGAACTTACGAACGAAAACAAGTCGGTTGATTTAGAAAACAACAAAAGTAAGTAAATATAATATAAATTATATATAGTATTCATGATATTTTTGTCGCATTACATTACATCGCATTTAAAAAAGCAGTCGTTGCACGCACCTCCCTTGATTAGGATATTCAATTAGCATATATAATTGCACCGCGTCAATTTGTGTTAAATTCTTTGCCCGTACACACGGACACACGCATACATATATATATATATATGTATATGCTCTTGGCATTTTTTCCCTCACTCTATCTTTTGCTTGCTCGTTTGCTGCTGTTTGAGTTTGATTTGTTGTTTTAAACAACAAGAGGAGAAAAGTAGAGATTTCAAATAAAAAATATCCAAAAACATAGAAAGATAGAGTCTCTAAAATAATAATTATACGACACGAAACTAAAAATTAGTCAAAATGATGCAATTTGTTGACCAAACGCTTGATGTATTTCGAAAATATCGAAAGACCGAGCCATTTTATTTGGTCGCCCTTCGGTGCTGCACCATTACGATATGTGTTCTCTTGATTATAATCTATGCAATTTTTTTGCTGATATTTTTGGTTAATGATGACCCTGTCGAACAAAGCGTTCTGACTCCCGCACCTACTTTCCCAGCAGCAGGTTTTTTATCAACTATTGTTGCTATTTATATTATTTATGGCTTATATTCAAAGTTCTATCCATATATGTTATGCACGCTTTATTTATACAAGATTTACTGAAACTTTGAACCCCTTTTTGCTTATTATATTTTCAGATTTGAGATTGGAGTGGAATTATCAGTTCTCTATTACCTGTGAATATGCGTATTTAAGTATGGATTGCTGTTACTATTCTTCATTAATATTGTTTGTTTCAAGCTATTACCTTTCTCCATGTTAAACAGTTCAACCCATCTTTCTTATTTCAACTATTTTCAAGATGGCAGCCGTGGTAGCGGAGACTTATGTACTTCACTAGTAATTCAGCCAAAATGCTGCTGTGATGCAAACAATAGTACTGATCATTTTACCGGATGGTTCACCGCCTGGAAAAACTACCCTGAATACATACTAAACTATGATTTGGATAAAGAGTTTTATGGGGTGTGGTACACGATTCTTTCTACAGATGCCAATTATAACGCCAATCTTGATCGAGGAATGGTTGTGCGGGCGTTTGATTCAGGTAGGAAGGGATTTAGTTATTTGGATGTTCAAAATCCTATGTCATAAATACTGATTAATCCATGTTTTATTAGAATTCAATCCACAAACATTGCCAGCTTCTCAAAACAACACATCTAAAGATATTGACAGTGAATTCTATAACACCCTTGATGAGTTAAATCACCATGTTGTTGGATATCAACAGGTACCTTTAATTATCGAATTCTTTTTTTTATCTATCTGTCATTATGATCGATTTTAATACTTCTTTGCCGGCTTTTTTTATAGAATAACTATATGTTTGTCAATCGTCATCTAAAAAAGAAATTACGTCCCAATGCAGGAAATGTGATTGGTATCCCGCCAAAACACTTCGATGAGCATTATCTTACCACTGAATATGGTTTGTTGATTTTTTGTGATTTGATTCGATTCGATTAAATATTGATACTGACGAAAAAGCTCCTTTACTTTGTAATATATAGAAAGTGTAAATAACCCTGCTATTGCACAAAATCAATCTCAAAATAATCTTTACGCTAATTTGTTTGTTGGAACCTTGAATTGGTATGAGGAACAGATAACTGAAAGAAGGTAAATCATAAGTTATTAGTGATTTTGTCATCATTCGGTTTATTTTCTGGTTATGTCGTTGAA